TTATTATATTGCTGCATCTGTTGCTGCTTAAAGTGCCTTAGATTTTGTGTTACTTATTTATCTACTTTATATTTCATTTGTATTTTGTGGCATTCATGTGAAGGGCAAAGTAAGAATTTCATTGTACAGGGAAACACGTTTCCTAATTTCGCATATGACAAAATAAACACTTTGAACATTAAACACACAAAATCACAAAAGTGTGTTAAGAGGCTCCTGGGCCCGTATTTATCAAGCAACACAGAATAGGAAACCACTCTTAACTGGCCAACATTTCTCAGAATGATGCATTTTTTTGTCCCACTTTTAGGAGTAGAAGTAAGAGCAATTTATCAACATTCATATCCTAGGAAATCAGTCCCATCTCCACCAAAATGTAGGAGAGCTCCAGAAGTGCCAGGAGGTGGTGTTCAGACAGAGATAAGCACACAAACTCCACAGGAGGGGAGATGTTTTACTTATGAATAATGATGCTGAGCACATTAAAACATACACTTTGGCCATAAATGGAATAGTTTTTGTGACAGATCCTGTGCAAGGTGCAATTGCTCCAACAAAAAGAAGAGCACATGCTGTCTCCACTGAAACTGCAGCCATTTCACCTTTAGAGACACTTTTTATTAACAAAGCAGATGCAGCAACAGTGATGATTTGGGTCTGTCAAAGCAGACATTGGCCGTTATGAGACCTGGATCACTCTTACAGCTCCAATGATTCGTTCATTTCCACACCACTCACTGTTATTCAGTGAAAAACCAGCTACAAATCGCCCATTTCCTTAAACATGTTGAAGTCATTGATGGCACACACACACACACACACACACACACACACATTGAAGTCATTTACCGGTTTCTCTGTTGTCACAATTTTCAAAAATTCTGGAAAAAATCTTATTTTGACACAGAGGCGTCAATTTGTGAAGTTGGGTGAATACCAATCGAGTGAGCTGGATATTGTATGTGGAGTGCCTCAGGGTTCTGTTTTGGGACCTAAACTATTTATATTATACATCAATGATATATGTAAGGTTTCTGATTTAGTGAAAGTGGTTTTATTTGCTGATGACACTACCATATGGGCATCGGGTGAAAACCTACAGCAACTCTCTGGACGGGTTTCACAGGAACTTGAGAAGATAAAGAAATGGTGTGA